GCTACATCTTTAATCTCCTGCAGCAATGAGTCACCCTATCTAGGTACAGATTGTCAGCTCTTCAGCCCAGAAGCATTCCCAGTAATGCCTCTTCATTGTTTACATCCTACCTCGCCCCTCTCCCAGCTAGTTTCCTGAGCTTTCCTGACTAGTTCTAGATTGTCAGCTCTTCAGTCCAGCTGAGTCTGAGCGATATGAAAAAATAGTGCCTTGATGTAAAAAGCTGGCCAAAAAGGGGCGGTGCTAGTGAGATTGACATCAGCGGTAGCCAATCATTTCTACAAATTGCTTTCCGCCAGTTATTACAGGTATTTATATAGCACTCACAATTTGCACATTCACATCAGTCCCTGTCCTCAAGGAGCTAATCTAGGGTCCCTGTTGCAGACACATACAGGGACAATTTAGACCTACCACAATGTCTTTGGAGTGTGGGAGGGAGCCCATGCAAGCAGAGGGAGAACGTGCAAACTCCATGCAGATGGGTCACCTAGGATTTGAGCCGGGGGCCCCCCTGTGCTACAAGGCAGAAGTGCTGATTCTGCATCTCTGAGCCATCAGGATCAGATATGGATTTGTCTCTTCAGCCTAGGAGGGTTCCCCATTGACAGCAGCTAGAGAAAACCTCAAAGGTTCGGTGCCAACTCTCATTTATGAGGAGCCCCGGCTACCTAGCTCCTGGGATTTGTCCAGCCCTGCCTTACCTCATTGTTTACATCCTACCTCACCCCTCCCCCACATAGTCACTGAGCTTTCCTGGCTAGATCTAGACTGTAAGTTGTTCACCCTGAGGAAGGCCTATTCTTCCTTCCATGTACTGCTTACGTTCTGTGTTTTCATGCAGACGCTGAACTTTTTTGGGCTAGCTATTGATTGTAAGCTCTTAAGGGCCGAAGGGTACCACAGTCATCTTATAACTGCTTAAATCCAGCACCAATCATCCCTGACCAGATCTAGATTGTGCGCTCTTCAGCCTAGGGTTCCTGATACCCTTCATCCTTGTTTACATCCAGCAATGCTCACCCTAGGATAGTCAGTGCACTATCATAATATATAGTGTAAGTTCATCTGCATAGCCCCACCTCATTGTTTACATCATGCTTCACCTCTTACCTAGGTACTGAGCTTTCCTTATTATACCTTAATTGTAAGCTTTTCAACCAAGGAGGACCTCACATAAACCTACGCCCCTCTACTGCTTACATCGTGTCTTCTGTTTCTTAGTCAGGGCCATTGAGGTTAAGTGACTATATATAGATTGCAAGTTCTTCTGCCCAGGAAGGTGCCACACAAATCTCAATGCTGATTAAATCGTTCATTTCATCTGTAGCTCTGTCAAGATCTAGATTGTTTGCTTTTTGGCCTAGCAGAAAGCCCCACTTTATTGTTTACATCCTTCCTCAATGCTCCCTCAACTAGTCCCTCAACTCTACTGACTAGATCTGGATTGTAAGCTCTTCAGCCTAGGAGGACCTCAAATCCTCCATCTGTACTACTTGCAATCCAAATTTTTACCTCCACAACCAGAGTCGCTGAACTCTGCTAACTAGATCTAGATTGTAAGTTCTTCAGCCTGGGAGGGCCTCAAATCCTCCTCCTCTGTACTGCTTATATTCTGAATTTTTACCTCCAGTCACTGAACTCTCCTGACTTTGCATAGATTCAGCCGGGAAGGTAACGCATAATCCCAGTAGTATGGTTGTCTCTTGCATCCCCCCTTCTCAAGCCGGGGTTGCTGTGCTTTTTTAACCTGATCTAGGTTGCAAGCTTTTCAGCCAACAAATACTTCCTTATAATGTTTACGTTCTCCATCTCCCCTCCCCCAGCCACAATTGCTGAACTTCTCCAATGTGATCTAGATTGTAGCCTCTAAGGCTGGCCATACACTAGTTGAATTTAGGATGAGTCCTGCTGATTAGGTTGAAATGTGACCAGTATGGACCCTGTCGGCAGCCCTCTGGATTTTTCAGTCTACTTTTGCCGAAGAAGCTGGTCCAAAACTTCTTGGCCACACAGTTACTGCAGCCAATCTTCTGCAGTCAAGGTTCACTAGCCCAATGAAGCCATTCTTCGATTCCCCCCCCCCCCCCCCCCCCCCATCCATGCTAAAGAAAACATTTTTCTCTTGTTCAGTCTCGTGATACATATGTCTATGGCCAGCCTTACTGTGTTTATATTTTGGATCTTTCTTTCCTTGCTGAGATTTCCTCTTCATCTTAGCAATACCTTCAGCCTAGGCAGGAGGTTCTCCTATTATCCTTCTGCCCTGTAATGTACACGTTCTGCTCCCCAAGCCCTAGTCCCTTTTCACAAATGGGTATAGATTGCAAGCTCTTCATCCCAGGAGTGCCCCACATACTTCCTTTACTCTGTAATATAACATCCAGGGCTGCTGATCTTTCACAGCTCGGTCTAGAAGGCAAGCTCTGAAGTATCTTGTGTGATACTCATGGGGGGAATTTGTCAAAATCTGCAGCAGATTTGCACAGCGACCAATCAGCTTCTCTGTCTCATTTTCAAATCTTACCTGAGCAAACTGAAGAGAGAAGCTTATTGGTTGATAAATTTCCCCCATGGTGTTTACATTCTACATTCCTGTTCTGCTATCCAGAGTCACCCAGCTTTCTTAACTTGAGCTAGAGTGCAAGATCTTCAGCCAAAGAGAATTTATCTCGTAGTTACTGCTTACATTCTGCATCTGTCCTCCCCCAGTCCTATTCACAGCTGTCACATTTGGGGTTTATATGTGGGTTCTTCAGCCTCAGAGGATCTTGCTTAATTCCTTCAAGTACAGTCAAGAGTTGTACTGAGTGGTTTCAGATAGATCAATATTGCAAGCTCTTCTGCCCAGCATGATCTATCATGATCCCTCATCCCAGGACTGTTTACATCCTGCATACCCCCTCCCCCCAGCTACAACTATCTCTGCATTACAAGTTTATCAGCGTGGCCTCTTCTCCTGGTTTCTTCAGTCACTGACTCTCTCACAAATTGTATTAAATTGCTAATTTCCTTTTACTTCTTCTTTCCTGCTAGCTGGATATAATTCCTTGTCCTTACCGTTTGACTTTTCCCCTCCCAGCTTTCTGCCTTCCAATTTCACAGAGCTTACACAACTAGATCTAGATGATAGACCCTTCTGCCTAGAGTTCTCTCTGTGCGCGGAGGCCGATGGTCAATACAGATAATGTACAAATGTGTTTGGCATTATTTTGCATGACCTTTCCCTCGGCTCTGGATTGAAAGCTCTAGGGGGTCTCACTTTACCGCTGCCCGTCTGCAATGTGATGATGATCCCTTCTGTGCTCCAGTTACACTGCAATAGTCATAGCTTTTGGATACCAGATCTTCATTGGTTTCACTTGATTGCAAGCTCTTTAACCTAGGATCTACCTTTTTTGTAATGCTTTTCTTTTTGAGATTTGTTGACAGCAAATTTATGACAGACCTGAGGTTCACATGTTGCACGAATGCTTTATTTAAAGTGACACTAAACTCGAGTTAAACCTTAAAAATGCATTCGGGTGCCGTAACTATGAACAAAAATGTATCTTGTGCTTAGCTTGGCTGTAGATCCTCAAATCATCTCTGAATTGGTGCTGACACCGTCCTTCCTTCTGGAGGGGGGCTACTTTGGTTCCCCATGGTCCCTGTGTGTGTTGTAAAGTAGTCACCTCTCCAAGCTCACTTCGGTGATGGACTATATTCTCAATACAAATTTAGTTAAATAAATGTGTAATCCATCCCGGGTTTGATCTTGGAGTGGTGACTACTCTATTGTAGAGTAGTCACCGCTCCAAGCTCACTCTCGGGAGGGACTACAATCTCATGTTTAGTGTACTAATTTATATTGAGATTGTAGTCCATCACGGGAGTGAGCTTGGAGAGGTGACTACTTGACGACACACACATGGACCATGGGGAACAAAAGTATCCCCCCTCCAGATGGAAGGACGGTGTCAGCACCAATCCAGAGATGATTTGAGGATCTCAAGCTGAGTGATACACAAATAAGATACATTTCGGTTAAGGGACTTGAATGTATTTTTAAGGTTTTAATTCCTGA